CAGTCAAATGGAGCTCTTTTTTTTTTCTGGAATGATATACCAAAAACATGTATTGTAAAAACATATTAAATGGAATTCAGGCATAATGAAAATGGATTTGTGCAAGAAATCCTTGAACAATATGATACATTACAGAAACCGGTTTATTACTGAGCAATTTGACTATTTTGGAATCGGAAATACAGGTGCATTTTCTATACTTACATGCCTTGAGATTATGCAAGTATACTTTTTTTCCTTGTTGCCTTATGCAAATATGCTTCAGATAGGTAACATTATTGTACATAGATCCTTTAATTATATATTAATAAGATGAGCAGAAATGATTTGGCTTTGCATTGCCAGTCTATGCTAAGTGGTCTGTTTAACAAACAATTTACTTGAAATCAAGCAGGATTGCTAACACACGGAAATAGGCAAATTCAGATAAAAATAATATTCCACAATGGAAAGGAATTTTACAAAATTATATTTGTAACATTTAACATTTATATAGCATCTTTCAGGGAGGCCCCAACGTGCTTCATTGACTATGTGGGTGTGTGTGCGTATGCGCATGTATCAGGGCCATTGAAATGCAGCCATGTTTGGAGCAGAAATACTCAGCAGCGAGGAAAATGGATGAGAATTCCAGTACCAAACCTTTAAGTGTCTCAGTTTGAAAGTCATAATGGTGATGAGGTGTGAGATAGGAAAGTGTGAGTTGTAATCCCAGTTCTGCCCACTAAATGCCTGTATGGCTTTGGGCAAGTAATTTCACCTTTGCTTCTGTAAAATAAGGATGATAATCCTTACTGGCTCAGCCTCTGATTATTAGTGAACATTTGTGTAATGCTTCTAATATGTAAAGCATTAATAAACAGGTATTAGTATTATTACCAAGATCAATTTACTAACAATAGAAAAATGAATGGGAGAATCCTTGAAAGGAGGAATTCAATCAATTCTGCAAGGAAACAAGGACACCTGCATTTCTGTCTAGATCTGAACCTATCTCTTCCCAGGCTCTGGTGATGGCCAAAGTTATATTCTTGTGGTGTAACTGGTGTCTAACCCTGTAATAGTGATAGGAAAGTGAAGCTAAACACTACTAAATTGGGGATAAACTAAGATCCAGAACTCAGGTCCAAATCAGGACACCATCTCATATGCTTAAGTGTTGTCAGTTCTGATTTCTGTAAGAATGTTGCAAGTTATAGAAAGCTGAGCTCCTAAATCTCTTGGACACATTTTAAAAATTAGAACACATTCCTAAATCACTCCACTGCTGTTGAAAATTTCATTTATCCAGACTGCAGATATTTTCCCAAGTCAGGTCTTGATTTCATGCTGGACTTAATAACGTGAGTACATCTCCACTCTAACTTTTTAATCTTTCTATATTTTTCATGAATTATTTTTTATGAATTTTTTTATGCATGGTAAGGTGTATTCATCACTTTACCATGCAAACCATTACTTTAAAAAGTTCAGTATTGTGTGATTTATAGCCAACATTCAGTGGCATCTCTAGGTAAATATTTTAAGGCATGGCATCTTGATGGGGACAATGTTAACTGTATTGCAGTAAAAGTAGCTTTCATCTACTTTTTTCTTTCTTCTTCATTTGATAGCTTATGGAGAAGTAATGCATGAGCGATGATACTGAAAAAAGTCACCACTTCTGTTCCCCCTGAACTCTTTCCCCTACTTTTTTCTTCTTTTCAGTTTGTCACTTTTATTCTCCTTCCAGTTCTTCTTAAGTTATTGGCATACTACCATACTGGTTGAAAAGAAATAGCCAACAAATGACATAATGTCAGAAACTAGGACACTGTGCAGGTAGTGAATAAGTCAACATAAAATTTCTAGACCTTTACTGAAATGACAGGCTTGTCTTTTTTTCTTTTTTTTTTCATCAAAAGATGACATTTTGCATATATCATTGTTAAAGCTGATCTTGGTTATAAAATAATTTTGAAATTGAATATGTCAAATCTTTAGAGATTTTTCACTTGCAAGTAGGACCATTTTAAAATTGCACTGTATAAAACTACAAAATGCACTGCATGGCAAAGACAATAGGAGGATTATAGAGTGCTCATTTTGTGTTGGCCATTAGCATGTGTAGTGGGTCCAATTTCAGTCAAAAAAGGTCAAGTTTTCAAATGAAAAAACACACTGAAACTTCACAGGGATTTTGGGGGGGAAAAGATTTTTTTTGAAACAGAAATGAAATGCAAACCTTAACTTCTGATGTTTTTTAATGATATTAAAATTACTTTTGCATAGATACACTAGAACAAGCAGTCAAGTTAGTTATCTATTGATTATGGCTTTGTCAGTCCATCTGTACTTCAACTGAATAGAACAAATAGCAAGAGAAGATGTCCCCAATAAATTACTAGAATTCAGTTCTTATTTTACATAGATACTACAACAAAACTCAGAGGCAACCTTGTGTGCTGGATGCTATGCAAACATTGAGGTAATCATAGTTTGTGTCCCACAGAACTTGCTGTCTGAGAAGATGAAAAAGATACAAAGGGCAAGAGGAGCAAGAGGCAAATATATAGATTTCTCCAAACATGTTAGAACTAGGCAAGGCCTCCCAGGTCAAAATGCGTAACAGGGAACCTATGCAAGGTTTTAATTATACCAGGTTCTCCATTATTATCCAGTAGAGGGAGATGATTTACTTGCTTCCTGACCCTATGAAAAAGGGTGGGGCATTTTATCATCCTTCTCAATCTGCAAGGAACTACTAACAGCCTGTATAATCTGTGCAATCTCCAAAGCCATAGGCAAGTATCTACTTCTTTCGTGTCTCATACATATAAAACATAACACATTTTCAGACCCGTGTCTGCTTCTGCTGAATTTAATATTACAACTCCCACTAATATCAAAAGAACAGAGGAGAGGGCTTCTTGTATAGTTAAACAGGCAAGATGCATTTATTGTGTGTGTGTGTGTGTGTGTGTGTGTGTGTGTGTGTGTGTGTAATTTACTTTTTCTTTATACAGCATCTATCACAAATGAGCCCAAGTCTTTGTGAGGCTGCTAATAATTACCCCAGTGTCAATGCTAATGTTGAATCAAATCTCCTTTTTGAGGTAGGAGTTTTGAAAGTGCTTGGCAAAGTGCTTATGACTTCAGTAGGATCAGAATTAGACCAAAACTAAGTGCTTTTGAAATTTGTACCTTTAACTAATTAAAAACTGAAGGAATGATATGGAGAATTGGCATTGCCTTTAGAAAGGTACATAGGAAATGTTAATAAATGAGATGTGCTAATTTTAATTAATTAGATACGCCAGAGGTTATAAACATCCAAAAACTTTCAGAAGTTATAAATATCTGACACTCCCCCCTCCACACACATCTTCTAGAAGCAATAAACACCAGTGATTTCATATTTACGTTGGTTGGTATTTGAAGAGACAGAGAGGAACATGTTGTAATGCTTCCATAGTTGGTCTGCAGGGGAAAATAGTTTTATTACGGTTGATTTCAAACCTAAGGCACTGCGGATGAAACAGGTACGGCAATTTAATCCTAGCGAAGCAAACTAAATTGCAGTGTTTTTATTGATGCAGTCTTTTATTTTGTATCTACCCACCCTAATGTAAGAACAAAGAAAACTGTCAGAAAAGTCTCTTCTAAAAGCAGGGACATCAGAATAAGGCTAGTCAGCTTTCCTTAGTGGACAAAGCGAGAGCAAACTGTTCAGATCCTTAAAGAGAAAGGGAGTAAAGGTTTCTCAAAGTCAGGGCAATACAGCAGGTGACAGAGAGCACATAGCCTAAGGGCACTTCTACAGGCCATTGCAGCTTTTCTCACACATACTGTTAAAAGGATGGTTTTATCCTGAGGCAAAGCTACATTGAAGGAGTTAAAAACCACTTTAGAACATCAGATGACATGTCATAATGCTTCAGACACACTGCTGCAGTGTTGCAATGCATATAATCATTTTTCTCCTCTTCACTTACCTTACCTAAAATTCGCATTCAGGGCCTGATCCAAAGCCCATTAAAATCCCTGGCCATTTATTTTCTAGTAAAATCAATGAATGTTTGAGTAAGCCCTCAAACTGACCTATGTTAAAAATATTATAATAGCCTTCCAGGTTACAAAAAAATAAGGCCGGTTCTTCAGCTGGTAGAAACTGGCATGGGTCCACAGAAATCAATGAGCTACTATGATTTATACCACTAGACAGCTGGGTCCCTTGTTTTCAAAATATATTTTAAAGAAATAATGGAGTCAACAAAATAAAATCAAGTGATGGCCAACTTTTTTGCAAAACTTGAGTGAATAAAAATTAATGTAGCACCGCTTAACAGGATCCACAATAGATGTTAACTAATAAACATCAGTTTAAGAGTTGAAGTGACATAATTGAGGATGGTGCCAACTTTAAAAAGTGAATGAAAAACATTTGCATATTTCAAGGTCATATGGCCTAAAACATTGAATTGTCCTTGGAGACTATCTTTTTGTCATAGCCAGTTAGGGAACAGGTTAAGAGAGGAAGTAATGAACAGGCTGGTAATGTAGACCAATCCATGACTTTCACAGATAGGCAGGAAGAAGTTAGGGCTATAAAGTAAAATACAGTCACTTTGAAGAAAAGCGAGCTTATTCATTGTGTACACAGCCAGTTTCCATTTTCTTAAGGGTTAACAGAAAAGAGGGAAAGGAATGTTTATAATAGTATTGGTCTGAGAATATAGTAGAGCAGGGGTATCAAAGCCATGTTATCAAGCCTGTGTGGGTCCTTGGAGGGCTACAAATTCAGGAATGGAGCCCAATACCAAATTCCATGGTATGGAGACCTCATGGTCTCCATGCTATTGTCCATTTGATCACATTAAAGTCAATCATTCCTACACCTGCATTTTAGTTGCGTGTTAATTCTGCTATTTATACAAACCAGCCATTTTGGAAAATGGCATATTTATAGAGGATATTGTAGGGGTAAGTCCTTCAATCCTTGTAATATTTCCATTTCACAGTTTGCGTTGAATATTTTGGCAGTAAAGTCCTCCAGTTACCCAGAGAAAGAGATGTAGCCTGAACAGTGCCATATTCAGAAGTTTCTCCACCCTGACACTTATCCAGGAATGACCAAATGTACTGTTAGAGGCTGTTTCATTTGATATGCAAATTCATTATTGTACTGTCTGTTGAGATTGCCATCAATGTTGCTAGTTAATGCCAGGTGTGTTGGTGGTTCCATTTAAGGTGAACACTTTTCTACTAGGACGGGTTACTAAAGTGAGACCATCATGAACAGCACTCACAAACTGCTGATCAGCTATCAACGTTTCATCTCAACTCTTCCCAGGTTGCATTTAAACCGGTGTTCTACTCAGATATCCAGCCCCTTCAGCCTATCTGGTTCCCAAGAGTATGCCTTCTACATATGACATGCCTTGTTTGCTTTCTACCCTTCAAATGTATGTAGCTCTCTCATTTACTGCTGCACCCCCCACATTCATCTCAGAGGCTGGGAAGAGCACAAACTGAAATACAAGACTGTTTCTACAAAAAGGCTAGAAGCCCTCTGGATAATCTGACACATTCCATGTTGGATCATCCTAGACATCATATACCCAACCTGTCAGAAATCATAATAAGGCCAAATCTGTATAGTAGCAGCTCTTTTGCTGGACCCCCCATCAAGCCATGATTACTGTCACCAAGTGGATGAGTTGTACAAGAAAGTAAGGGTTGTTGGCTTTTGTTGCAGATAACATGCTGTCAGTGAAGTAAAAGGCATGCCACATCCAAAAAGTGTTATATGACATGCCTTTCACTTCACTGGGGAAAACAACAACAATACATATTCCTCAAATGCAACATCATTCCTGTATATTTTGCATGATCAGGTGCCTTTCTATCATCACACATGTAGTATTCTGACTAGCAAAGGAAGGGTATTGAACTTGGATTATTTTTTAAATAAAATACATTCTGAATAGTTTGACTGCCACATATGAAAAGAATGTGTGGATGGATATAATCTGATCATATTTCTTATGGGTCCAGAGCCCAATAATGAAGACCACAGCTCTTCATGATGTCTCTGGGCTAGATTCTCGGATGCCCCATGGTCCAACATCAACAGAAGGGTTGGAAGGTCCTCCTACCTAATCTATTCTGTAGCCTGAGAAGTGGGTTATATGGTTAGAATCCCCTCAGGTTGAGGACAGTGTAGAAATAAGGTCTCTCACTTCCTGAGCAAATGGTATAACCACTAGGCTATAGCATAAATAGTATGCAATGGGGCTACCACCATCATGATTTCAATGCCTAAATTCTGCTGAAGTCCTATTGAGGCACCTATGAGAATGATTTGGACCTGGACTTTGTGTCAAAATTTCTTTACTTATAAAATTAAAATAAAAATAATACTTACCTGCCAGATGTACCACAGAAGGGGAGCTGCCAAGGGTGTAGGGGTAATTTGTGCAGCTGTCCCAGGTGCCAACTAGAGGGATGTGGAGGAAAAAATGGCTGTTTTTGAAGCTGCACTATTGCACTGGTGGAGGTGGAAGCAACTAGACATCACCACTGCCCCTGTGGGTGGCAGCTGCCCCAGGCACCCAGCTGCATCATTATGCCTCTGGGAGATGGTGACTTTTTTCACCATAGCCCAGGATATGCTTGTAAGAAATAACAAGTTAATGTTTTGAAAATGTTTTATAAGCAGAAAATTTCCCCAGAATTCCCCAGACACCAAGTATGGGGTTACCCACCTTTTTTTTCAAGTAAAATGTTCATTTATGATCAAGGCATGTCCCAGGGTATCATTTCAACTAATCTTTCCCCAAGTAATCAAGCTGCATTCATAGTAGGGACATCTACATATGCCCCTATGGTGACATTGTTACTGTGCCGTCATTTACTACTTCCTTTGGGAAGTAGTAAATGACGGCACAGTTAACAGCGCTGTACTGCACCATGCCAGGGACACGTGTTTATTTTTAGCTGCCACACTACTGTAGCACTGTGCTATAATGAGGGAGCATGGTGCTACAGTGACATAGCTGCAGCATCATGGTTTTTGCCAGCTGATGCTACGCTGCTGTAGCATGTTGCTACAGCAATGTTGCATCATGTATATAGGTGCCTAGTGTTTACATAGTTCCAGAAGCTAATTTTATTTGTAGGTAGTAACAACAAATACCTTGTTTTTATGCTTTCTCAGAAATGCTAATTCTGGCTGTAGGTAGGAAACTACAATGCAGTAGATGAGGGAGCAGGGTTCAGGTCTCATGTTCATATATTCTCTTTGGTAATTGTATTGCTTGCTTGTTTTGGCAGTGGATTAATTCAGCAAGTGATATAGTGGTTTCAAGTTAAAGGAAGTTATAAAATGAGCTGCAATATGCAACCACTTCATAATAAATGGTGCAAGTTGGTTCCGTTATAAGCCACTCTTCCTATGACTTTGAACAGGAAAAGGATTTTGTGATTACTTTCAGGGTACAAGGAAAACAAAGATTTTGGAAATATACAGGACATTTGTCAAACAATATTTAGGTTATGAATGCTCAAAAAATATGGCAGAAAGTTAGGCTCATAAGGTTCTGAATACTGCTAAGAAAGTTTTTCCTGATTTGTCAGAGCATGTTTTAACTGATTTTCAAATGGAATTGTTTTAAAGCATATCAACCACCAGGAAACTTCTTATAGCATTATAAATGTTCAATGTACAGAAGATGCAAGTGCTATACATTGACTTTTATTTTAATCTCCCAAATAACAGGATACGCTCAAGTTTAGTAGGTATTAAAATAAAACAACTTATGAGGTATAGGAAAGATGTCCGTCTTCATCAGAGTAGTGTTCACTGTACCTATTCAGGGTGGGGAACACAGATATCTTTAGACCAAGGGTATCAAGCTAATCTAGCCCTGCTAGATTAGTGGCAAGGGAGCAGTCTGCAGGCTGGATCAGGCCCATAGACCTCCCTCGTTCCCCCTGTCTAGCCAGGTCAGGTGCCACATGTAGCAGAATGCAAATCCCAGAGTGCCCATAATGGGTGCCACATGCAACACATGTTCCAGGCCCTGCCCTTGAGGCTAGGCTGGCATGTGTGCATCAACTTGTGCCTAAGGCCAGCACCAGCAGCTGGACAATGAGGCTGTGGGAGTGGGATGGGACCCACGGGCTATATGTTTGACACCCCTGCATTAGATTAACTGTTCACCCTTCCGGCCCAATTTTTCAGGCTGCTGGGGACCAAACTGATTGCAGTTGGCAAACTAGAGCAGCTTTATGATTGAGATATTCTGACTTACACAGGTGGGTTCAAAATCATTGCCATACCAGATACAATAAGCCTACTACACTATACTCTGATTCTCCTAACTCTACCACTAAGAAGTACACTCACCATGCCAAACCATCCATGCCAAAGACCGTGGACAATTCTCTATGTGAAAGAGAACCAGGGACATCTGGCATAGGTTTGTGGGTTTACAATAGAAACTACTGCTGCTGTTGCTTGTTCTTTTTTCTTCTTTCTTTCTTCTTTGTGTCCTTGTCAGAGACTAGATGTTTTTCCAGAATCAAGTCTAAGAGATGGCTCTTTTCACTGCTGCAGTCAGGTCCTCTTTTGTACAGGTCTCACCACAATGTTGGCAAACAAGCAGGTGCCCTATAGTCTGCACTTCAGCACGCTCACATGTATTTGTCATTTGAGTAGCCCCATTTGATCATTTTTGTTTTTGATCTTCCAGTTTGCGTGTGCAGGCACGTCAGGCATTGCTATGTTGACCAGTCTGTATCAACCCCTCTAGGAAGGTCCTCCTGGGGTTCCAGGTCTATTAAAGGGCACCGATTGTGCATAATCTTTCCTTCTATAACCTCAGTTGCACCCTGTCAACCACTGTGTCCAATGGTGGTCATAACACTGGTCACAAAACTCTTTCACACTTTAAGCCATTTGCTTACTTCTGTGTGACCATGGTCTTCTATCTGCTGTGATCCTTCTTTCTGGCTCACTACCTATCTTCTGATATCAAGTAGTGCAACGCCAGCCAGTAAATACAGGCTATCCTTTGATGTTGGCTTTAGATATCCTATTATTTCACTATAGCTGTCATTTAGAACTGGGTCTAGTTTCTTGGCATGAACTGATTGTTCCCATATTGGACATACATACTCTGAAATGATGTGACAAGCACAAGGTAATAGCAGTGGTTTGTAATGTAGCTGGATTCGCTCCCCACTTTGAGGTGACCAACTTTTGAAGCATGTTGTTACAGGCACTGATTTTCCCCTTCATTTTCTCTACACGTGCTTTGAAGGAAAGTGTTTGGTCCAATGTAACTCTCAACTACACAGGGTTCAAGTGATTAGTCAGTGGCATTCCATCCCAGGTGATGTTTAATTTCCACTTGGCTTCTCTATGGCATAAATGAAAGGCTGTGACCTGCATCTTGGGTAGGTGCAAAGCTGGTTCTTATTGTAATCTGAGAGATTGCTCAGTGCATGTGAGTCTGTTCTTGACAGTGGCAAAGTTCTTCTCTTGCAATGTGATGCATAGATGATCAGCATATATGAAGCTCCTCATATTGCTCTGTATGGGCTGATCATTGGTATATATGTTAAAAAGGATTGGTGCTAACACACTGCCCTGTGGAAGATCATTTTGTTGTTGTCTCCAAATGCTCCATTTCTGGTGTAGTTCTACATAAAATTGTCTGTTCTCCAAAAAAGATTGGATGAACTGCTCTAAGTGGTATTTGTTCATCATATCATAGACTCTGGCAAGTAGGTTTCAGTAGTTGACTGTATCATATGGTGCTGCTAGGTCTACAAACACAGATCCCATGACCATCTCTTTTGCAAATCCATCTTCTATATATTGGGTGCTGTTTAGTATTTGGCCAGTGCAAGACTTGCCTAATCTGAATCTGGCTTGTTCTGGTATTCGATATTGTTCGATATGTGGCGAGAAGTGACTGAGAATAAGGCATTTGTACAGCTTATAAAGATGGTACAGGGGTGACACTGAAGTTCTCTGGGCCAGAGGCATCATTCCCTGGCTTACAAGTAGGTAGCAAAATAGGGACTTAATGAAGAGCCAAGGATTGAGTCCTTTGTTTCTGTTCTCTTTTACCATGGCAAGATTTTAACAACCCTACAGAATTTAGGAATTCCCAAAAGTTGCCACACCAGGATAGCTAAAAATCACTTGTGTTCCCCTGCCAGAGGGATAATAAGTAACTGGTGTAGCTCTGATGCCACTCTTAAAAACTGCTGACTGTTTAACGGTGATCTCAATATTTAAATTTGAATTTCTACTGTGTGCACAGACTATCCCATTCTGGTGTTTATAAGTGATAATGGTTTGAAAATGAAGTGACAGTTTTCTTTCTGAAATCAATGAGAGTTATGCTTATGCATGAAAGGAGGAAGGTGCACTTCAAGCCTTAATTATCAATAAAGGCTAGAAGCCAGATGCTCAGATGATGTAATCTGTATTTTTATCTCTTCTAAGATTTTGTTCACAATTTCACGATTTTTGTGGAAACTGAATTTTGTAAGTCTGTCATGGAAATTCCCGGTCCCCATGAAAAAGCTCCTGGGGACTGCGAAAAAGCTGGAAAACAGCTAGCAAGTTGCGGAGGCGGGGGAGAGGGAGTTGCAAAGAGAGGCAGGAAGCCCTAGCATCCTGAAGCATGGGGGGCAAAGGAGAAGGTGGGGAGGGGAGCAGCCAGTGGAGTGCGGAGCCACCCCCCGTCACACACACATTTCCTATTGTCCAAGGGGCCCTTGAAGTCCCTCCCCTCCCTGGAAATTGACAGGTAGCCATCTCTCACTTCCCAGGGAGGAACAGGAGGGCCTCCCATGCCTCTGATTGTCTGAGAAAAAACAAGGGCAAAAGGAGAGACAAATGCAATATTTTAATTTGCTGATTTAAAGTGAATTTTCATATTCATTTTTGCATTATAATTTTAAATGTTATTT